ACCAAGTACATCCTCATTCGAATGATCACACCTCTCGTCGACTTTCTCTGGCCTCAGCTGGTCACCAAATACAAGCTCACGCCGATATTCACATCCGAAGGAGGAAGCAAAGCGTGGCGCACAAATCTGGGAGACAGTTCTTTAGGATGGACTTTAGAGGGATCAGGAAAAGTTGACAAGACGATGCAATGGAAGGATATAAACTCGACAGGCGTGGAATTCTGAATTTTGGTTAGTTTTACGAATTGGGATTTGTGCATGTCAGACCAGGATCACAGCCCGATGAATTTCGTATTCCTGAATTAATGTTTCGTGATTCATGTAAATTCTATTCTTCTAACATGACCGTAACATTATTGTCAGAATAACATGCTAAGCTGGTACCTGACATAATTTATGATCGCCTCAGGAAAACCTTGGCGTTTTCGGTAATTTTCAGGTAGAAAATACTTGGCGTCCCTGTAACAGACGTGGTGGACTGGTATTGAGTCGGTTTAGGATTACATCTTGGCTACAACATGTTTGGATTGTATCCTGTAATGTAAGGAAGCTATTTCTAGATATTATCATCATATGTCAGGTAGTAGATATGTGTAGATATATAAGCTGAGAGTAAGAGGAAGGAAGACAGACAGACAATTACACCTTTTATTGTACTTCAATTGAAAGCTCCTGTGCGAGCTATTCTTCCAGATACCTCTAGTCTCAATCATTACAGCTTCCGAACCAGCTCAAAAGGTTCGACAGTGCGCGCCAAGACTTCGCTTGTGAGAGTGCAGCTGACACCATAAAAACGAGCCAACGATGGAAGGTGTTGTGGTCCGCCTCCTGGTGGTGTTCTCTGGTATGGTTTGAGTAGCCTGGGCACCTACTCCACTTGGGAAGGAGACGCCTCAGACCTTTTTTTTTTTTTTTTTTTTAAATCATTTAATGTGTATTCAGCTATCTAGCTATGACACATGACCGGCGCTATGTATACATGTGGGATGACTCTTTTGACGTTAGAGACACTCATACTCTGGATTTCATTTGCAAATACCACTATGAGGTATGTTCGCTTACACAAACAGTCGACCCTCCTCTCTTAGTACCCACCAAGGGGAATTTCGAAACCTTTGATTATCCAAGCATGCCTTCGTCATCTATACATACCAGCGCCGCGAGAAATGTGGTTGTATTTTGCCGGATTTGGACCAGCGATCTACTGTCTCAAGTGGGATATGTGTCCAAGCTATCCAGACTCTACTTGGCAGACCGACCAAGACGATGTACCAACGCACCATCCAACCAAGACGGTATTTACAGTGTCGCTTGCACTCTCGCAAGCGAAGTCTTGGCGCGCACAAATCCCAATTCGTAAAACTAACCAAAATTCAGAATTCCACGCCTGTCGAGTTTATATCCTTCCATTGCATCGTCTTGTCAACTTTTCCTGATCCCTCTAAAGTCCATCCTAAAGAACTGTCTCCCAGATTTGTGCGCCACGCTTTGCTTCCTCCTTCGGATGTGAATATCGGCGTGAGCTTGTATTTGGTGACCAGCTGAGGCCAGAGAAAGTCGACGAGAGGTGTGATCATTCGAATGAGGATGTACTTGGTCGTACTTGTAGACTTGGTGAGGCTTAGGTAGGATTTGCACTCTTTGGGAGTGAAAAATTGACGTGGTTAAGTATTTTGAATCATTGCCTCATGGGCCAACTTGTTCGGTATTGCGAAGTTTGACTGAACTTGGCTCTAGGAGAATATTTCACTCCCAGGTTCGTAGAGGACACCGCGTACAGGTGTTTAGTCTTGACCTCCAATTCACTTCCATGTGTATTTACTATTTTGTTAGTTGACTTGACCTTTTCTCTCCATAGGTTACAAGCATATATTTTTCTTGACTTTTGTCAGAGCCTTTCCTAACCTTTTCATATCACGTTAATCCCTCCTGTAACTATATGTAGCATAAGTGGAGTCTTTTTTAATTCTAAGTATGAGTCGACGAAAAATTTGGCTATTGAGGGAGGGATATTCGCAGTAGTATTTGTAAGCCGGACGTAATTTTGGCTAGACCCTTTGAGTCATTTCTCATGGGATAGCATCTCCAAAATTACGAATCTTATTTGAGATTCACATTTGTGAGAATATTGAGTCACAGATTCGTAATTTTCATAGCTGGCGGGTTTTCAGACTTATCCTTTACCTCCCCTCTTCTTTGTAATCGTTAATTGTGTATTAATCTGTACAGCTCTGAAGTGTCATTAGCATCTTATGTACATGTGAGATAAATCCTTTGACTTCAGAGAAACTTGTTCTCCGTATTTTATTTTTAGATGCCAACACAAGGTATGTTTACTTACGCCAACAGTCAATCCTCCTCCGTTAGAGCCCACCAATGAGGATTTTCAAAAGCTTTTCTTATCCAAGCATACTTTTATCATTTACGTACGTCTGCCTCGTGAGAAATGCGTAGGAATATTGCTAAGTTCAAACTAGCCAGGTCCTGTCTCAAGTGAGATTGAAGTCCAAGTTATCCAGTTTCTCCGTATGAAATCGGCGAAGATCATTTACTACTTCACCTTCAAGTCATAATGTTTTTTATTGTATTGCCTGCGTTCCCTTAAAGCACGTCGTGAAACGCACAGTTCTCTTATATGTGAAAATCTTTCGCCGAATTCAAGACATAACTCCTTACCAGATTGTATCGATCTTTGATGTCGTCTTACATATCTTCCCTGATCTATTCCACATTTATCCTAAGGATCTGGCTCCTAGAATTGTACGCCACGATTTATCTCCTCTTTTGGATATTTTGATCGATGTGGACTTATCTTTCAGGGCTGCCAAAGACAAGGGACAAAAATGAGATGAAGTGTAGCCATTAAAGCAACTATATACTATATTGTACTCGAAGCTTTGACTAGGCTTTGGCGGTAATCGATCTCGAGGGGATGCGAAAATTTATATGGTGAGGAGCCTTGAATCATTGGTTCTTGGGCCAGCTTTTTGAGTCTTGCAAATTTTATCTGAAATTAGACGTGGGAGGATTTTTCAATTTCAGATTTACTCAGGGTATCGCTGACAGGTTTTCCATCACTTTCCTCTTCTTATATATCTCGTTCCACGGTTGATGAAAATTGAACGCATGTTAGCGGTGTCCCTAAGAACCTCTAGCTGTCCCTGTAGAGTCTGCAGAGCCAGGATTAAGTAAAAATTTCTTCACTTCCATGAGGATACCCAATCATTCTCGCAGTCTATGTAATCTTTAGTTCTCAACATATCCTCCTTTCAGCATGCTTCTGAAGCTGATTACCATCAAATCAGATGTTAGGCTCCAAGTCCTTCTCGTAACTCATTTTGGTCACAGAGAAGCTATCAAATGAATTTCCGGAGCGTACCCAGTACCCGAAACGGCTTTACGGCAGTGCAACAATACGGCAATGGTGTATTGGATTAATTTGGCGTCTAATGTTATGACGAAGGAAAATATGTATGGATGTATGGACCGCGAGTGACTTCAGTGTCTAGGCCTCGCCTTACTGGGTATGCGTGGTTTTTGGGACTGTTCCAGCGCACACAGCCCCTATAGCTAGCTTTCTTCCTTTTCTTTTTGGGTAGAAGGTTTCAATAAAAATTTGGGAGAATTCCACAAATATACACCGAGCTGGTTGGCTTTGATCACGGGCAATATATTTATGATCTTTCAAGTAACAAAAGACGATAGGAGCACTGTACAAGATTTGGCCTTTGTCATAGAGGAGCTCACTGCACAAGATAGTCTTTGACTCGAGTAATACATCAAACGCCATATCTCTTCTTGTGCAGTGGGACCTAGTAGTGAAACTGATATGCTATTTTCTTTGGAATGCGTATCACTTTCGTAGCTGAATTGATCACTAAGTTTAACACCGATAAAAGATTAAACTATGTGGAGAAGAAAAACGAGATGCTCTGAAGTAGGGACTGGAAGAGATTGATTCTTCAGTTTTGATAAATGCGAGAACCTGACTTCCCTCGACTATATTAGGAAACCGTAATGTCTAATTTACTATTTATGGCCCTTGTAAGTAGCAGTGGTTGGAGGCCGTTGTCATATGGTATGTGGGGTTCTGCCTCGCGTCACTAACCTACATATTACAAATGAAAAACCAATTGTAGGACTCTTCCGTCTATTTGACTTGTTTATAGATTGATGGAATGAGGGGCAAGCAAGAAGATTTGTGTCCCCAAACCTTAAGTCTGTGATAGAGTCTTACCTTCTCAATCCGAGAGGTTAATCAAATACACCCACAATGATCCGGAGTCTAGAATTTTACAAGTAGTCTCGCATGGTATTAATCGTCGCCTTCTGGCTATCCTCGTTCATACACACACTCAGCATCACGAGTGCGACACAGCATCATACAGAGCTTAGATAAAATTCTCCATATGTTTTTCTCGATTTTATTTTAATACCGGTTTCTTCCTATTGCTTAAATTTGATTCTTCGACCTAAGCCATAGCTTCCAAATACAAGTAACTTACACGCAGCTGGTTCGTCACTGAAAAAATATAATTGAGAGTGGAAGCCGTCAAGATACACTTAGGCTGTTTTATTTGGCTTTCTCTTCTGGTGCTACTGTTTAATCAAATCTGCATTTTGAAATTTCTGCTCAAGTCCCTGTGTAGGTGTCTTCACAGTTTCATATAGGGTCAAATAGAATTAACCTGTTACAGCTCCAGCCCAGCGTCATTAACTTTACTGAACAGAGTTAATTTACCCAACCAATCGTAGTTACATCGAACAGATCAATTTGATTAGGGGAATTATTATCAAACACCAAAACTAAAGTTATCCAGTGCATTTAGCAACAGTCGGCTTCAAAATTTCAGAATCGCAAAGAGTCTCAAAGCTCACGCCTACCAGATTTCTGTAACGTGTCTTCGAACTAGACCTAGAGGCAGGTAGAACAGAAAAGCCAGCTAAGTTGAAGCAAGCCTCAGAGGAATTCTTCTTGTCGGGCAGGGCGGTTCATCGCAATGTTTAGCAAGTCTAGGACATCATCTAATGCTCGTAAGCTATCGAAACCGATTGAAGCTACGATACAAACAATGAGCGATGATGATTTAATGAGCGAAAAGCATGCCCGTAGTGGAAGCAGAACTGGCATAGTAGAAAAAAAGCCTCGAAGCAACAGCGTTGGTAGTAAGGCAAGTATTATACTAACAAATGCCAAAAATTCACTCCATTTGAGCCATATCTCCAATAACTCTACCTTGACTCGTAAAGCATCCGAAAAGACTCCACATACACCGTTACAAAAACTTGGAAAACAAGATCCTGAGTTGAGTGTTCCTCAAGGTGGTCATAACAATTCTGCTGGTGAATCGCATCCCGGACCACGATCCACATTTAGGGTTGGTGTCTGGGAAGACAAAAACAAGAAATGTCGCCGTACAATGGAAGATACTCACGCATTTTTGTATAACTTCTTACACACTCCTGCTCCTACCCTGGAACGTGAAGCTTCTACGACCAGCGCCCAGCGTATAGAAGAAACAGCAATTAATTCTCACACTTCCAATAGCAATACTGATGTCCCATCGGAAAAAGTGATGGAAACGGATAATGGGTACTTTGCAGTGTTTGACGGACATGCGGGCACGTTTGCTGCAGACTGGTGCGGAAAAAAACTTCACATCATCCTTGAAGATATGATACGAACGAACCCCAACGCCTCGATACCCGAACTATTCGACCGGACTTTCACCAACGTTGACTCTCAACTTGAAAAATTACCTCTTAAGAATAGTGGCTGCACAGCAGTGATTGCGGTGCTCCGCTGGGAAGATCGTGTGCCTAGTACTCTATCCGCGATGGGATCTGCTGCCATTGCACCGGCAACCGTAGTAGCATTAAAAGCCGCAGAATTACACAATGGCGTTGATGGAGAACCGACGATCGAATGCCCAAACCAGGCAAATAGGAAAATGTCAAGTAGTGCTGCAACCCATAACCTACTCAAAAGTACTGCCATCCGACAACGTGTATTGTATACCGCAAATGTGGGAGATGCTCGTATAGTCCTTTGTAGAAAAGGTAAGGCACTACGACTCTCGTACGACCACAAAGGTAGTGACGCAAATGAGGGCAAACGGGTTTCTAGCGCTGGGGGTATGATCTTGAATAATCGTGTTAATGGAGTTTTGGCTGTCACACGTGCATTGGGAGATAATTATATTAAAGATTTAGTAACGAGTCATCCATTCACGACGGAGACTATCATTCAGCCAGACAATGATGAATTCATCATACTTGCTTGTGATGGCGTAAGTAGATCTATCCATTCATCTTGACCACCGCTGATAATAGGGAAAATTTAGATATGGGATGTGTGCTCTGATCAGGAAGCCGTTCAGCTCACTCGTGATATTCCCGATCCTACTATAGCAGCTAAGAAACTTGTTGATCATGCCCTTTCTTGCTTTACTACTGATAACTTGTCTTGTATGATTGTAAGACTAAACAAATCTGCCATCCTCAACGCTTCCAAGGAACCCAATTCTGCCATTGGGGTTGAAGGTGACCCAAACTCTGCTCCTGGTGAAATGTCAGAGCTTGAAAAAATAATTGGTAACGCAAAAAAAAAGGCAAATGAAACTGGTGTTCCTGGAATTGGCATCAGTGGTTGTAATTCTGGGAAAGGGCATGAATCCAGAGTTGAAAATCTCAACAAGAATAAAATCACAGAAGAAAAGGTTTCTGAATAGGCCACAAGATTGGTGGGGTATCGTTGCCTCCTATTGAAAGGAAACTTCACTCGCGTGTAGCGCGATTTATGTTAGAGGCTGAGATTCCTATCCTTCGGAATGAGTTGTTTCTCAAATATCTACTGTATGGGAAGAATTGAGAAGTTGTGAGAGGTGCTTATATTAAAGCACTCAGTGTAATACCCCATGATACTTAATCATGTATCATATTGAAGACTTGTCCTGTACACTAGCGTCGATAGTATGTGATAGGCTGACGATGGGAAACTATAAGGAGTTCAGATGGAAATAGCGACAAAGAGATCAATAAATAAATAAATAAAGACATTGATATTTGTCAGGGTTGCCTTCTATATAATCTATATGTGTGCACATAACCAGATGGTAATGTTCTACGATTCTGGTCTGGCCTTTTGGCCGAGCAGTTACGCACTTGATTCGTGCAGAATGTAAGCCGACACCCTCCGTCCTGCATGTCACCCGCGCGCCCCTCTTACTCTTCTTGTCATCTGTGCGTCGCTCGCTTTAGTATTTTTTATTTAAAACGACAGGTAATTACAAACCCATAGAATCTGTATCATGAACTTCTTCGACACCTCAAATAGAACAAATTTTCAAAGACCTGTGAATATTCTTTTGGCACTAAAAATGAGGATTCGAACGCCTGTATTTGATGTATTGTTATGAACCAAGGGGGTAAAAAGTAAATTAAGACCAGCGGATGTGATTTTGAGATTAACTGGCCAATGACGGATGTAACATAGAAAATATGGCAAATGAGTGAGTGTGTTTATTGTCTCAATGAGTCTATGACTATGCAAGAACGTGTAGGTCCTTTCTACCTTCAGGCCGGTGGTATCTATGCCTCGGGTAGTATACTCCCTCCATCGCCTGTTTCACGAACTCTCTCCAGCTGTGATACCCCCCACAGGTCTTTGGAAAACATTGTAGTACATTTCATTGCTAGCCCTGATGTTTTCCCTTGATTCATAAATTCCTCAATCCGTGGGTAACACTTTGGTACCTATTCAATAATACTTTTCTCTAATAGTTGTTGTCGGAAAACTAGGAGATATACCTTTCCACTTCATATTTCACACAACATTGACGAGCGACTGCTATTAAATAAAGGTACACTTGTCATTGTCTCATGATACTGCCAAGTGGATCAGCACCCCCCCATTTGCCTCTGGTTATGTCGCTCATACCTAACATACACTAGCTGCCAGAGCTGAACAACTTACACAACCTTGATTATCATATGTATTGACGACATCCCTATGTCAAATAGCCGATCATACTACTTGATTCCCTCCCCTAATTGTGAAGTTTTCATGAAGCATTTATGAGAACATTACAATTTATCACACATACGCTAGCTGTTAAATTTAATTCACGCATCATTGCTTTGCTATCATGTGACGGTAGTTCTACATTAAGATGATCATATCACCGTAATAGTGTGTTTTACGCCGCGCAAGAGCTCAGATCTCTGCCCTTCGATCCACCTTTTTTTAGCCCTGACTCACATGGTACTTCGGGAAATGTGGTTTAGCTAAGCTATCGAGTGTCTAACATATATTTTCATATACACCTAGAAGTTGGCTATCGCCGAAATCCCAAATATTCAGCTCACTGACCTTCACCCCATTGAAATTACAGGAAACTAGACCCACGCTATGGGACTCCAACTTCACGGTTCGTTTTGCTCAGCACGACACGTCACTATGCAATCACATATCTAGAGGGCAAATTAGTTACAAAGATTAAGAAAGTAGCTAACCAGAGCATAAAGTTAGTTTTAATCATCAAAGTAACATATTGCCGACATCGAGGAAGAAAAAATATTGACTGACTCGCGGTTATTCGTCATAGGATGAGTTGTTGGTCCTTGGTCACACCGATCTCTCCCTTCCGATGATCATACGAAGACTCTGCCTACATCTTGGCTACTCAAGAAGGCATAGATTGATACAAAGGTTCTCTTTAACATTCATATTGGAACATGGTTCTTTGGAATCCGGTATAACATAAAAAATGAGGGACCAAAGTAAACATATCGATGTAGTCTAAAGCCCTACTAGGGGAAGGATTCAAACTACAAAAAATTTACTTTAGGGACTATCCAAAAAAATAAAATGATTTTCGATGATCCACGAGGAATCGTTAATTTAATTCTTGGATGGCTCTGATAAACAAAATTTCGCATCGGTCTGAAACTCAAGTAGAATATCTCTTCAGGGAAATTCTCAAATAGTCCACCTTCCATGTTTCATCTATTCAGCAAATACAACTGACTAAAAGTAAATTGAGATAATTATCTACCAATTAAAGCAAACTTTTGATTTGAATACATGCGACGATGAATGTTTATGATGGACCATTAAGTTGATTTCTTTTTGATCAGATAGACCCAATAAGGTGTTGGTAGAAGCAACATGAGAAAAAATTTGAACTTCAGACCTAATCGCTTCAAAATCTAGTCCATTAGTGCGATCAAAGAAATGATTCTATGCCATCACGAATCTTTTCCTCTGCCTTCTAATATTTCTTCCCAGTTCTGGTGATCTAGTATCTCATACCTTCTCACGAAAGTAGGGTTGGAAAAGTTTATGAAATCAGCTCTCGTCTTTTATCCCTAACAAAGAACCGGTCAGAATTTACCAAACACTACTCTACAACTTTGATCTGATAGTATTTATACCAGTATGGTATCATAAAACTAGTTTAATACTACGTTTAATGCCTTATCGGAACAGATTCATTCATAAACTTGAAACCTGAAGGTTTGGTGGCTCGTACTCTTTTCGCATTTGATTGAGCTCAAAGTAATACATTTCATAGCTGAACGATCACTAGGAATTGTGGAGAGATAAGTAAGCTAAACTAACGACAAGTCAATGACTTGGCCAATTAGTAGGGGAACCGAGGAAAGCTCGGAAACTTCCAGAGGTCATAATTTGGCCTAATCTCGATTTTCCTAATCATTACACCCATGCGAGCCTTTTGGTCTCTTGGCTCTATGCCCTTCAGACGTTCCGGACATGGCTCCTTGCGTCGATGAAGTGGTGTTCAGGGCTTTGTGAAATTTCACGCCAATATCGCTTTGCTGTAGCGCTCTCTATTACTCCATCAACTTTACCCCAGTTTATTTTATACAACGTACAAGACAAGGTGGATCGAAATCAGCGTCCCCCCCGTTTACTCTAGGAGCCTCTAGAATTGAATATTCTTCATCAGTCAACAACAACTATTGTCCTGTGAATCGCATTTCTGGTAGTTCTCTATCGCATATAACTTTTGTGTACTCATGGTCGTCTGATACCAACACTTAACACGCTTGCATCTGACTTAGAATCTCCTATCGGTGGGTCTCGGTGAATAAAATATCCTGATGGTAAGTAGCAATTTCTTACGAAAGCGTCCTTTATTTATCTACTGCTCGATGAGAGGTCTAGGATCTTTGTATAATCTATACTTTAGATGTATATTTGACTGAAGATATGGTTTATTAACAAAAAGTCTTTTACAGGAGCCTCGACTATCCATAGTTTGCTTCTACAGTGTGGAAAATAATCTCCAAGAACCTTCTGAAGCTCAGAAATCTACAGATGTTTCACCAACAACCATATATCCTCAGATTAATGCAAATACATTATCAACATCCTTCAATCCTCGAGAAAGAAGCATAGATCACGGAAGCCCCTCAGCAGCTACATCCCCAGCAGAGCATGCGACCTATTTTCCAGACGAAAAGATTCTCATAACAGAGAGTAATGATAAGCAGTGTGTTCAAGAACAGCAAGTCCCAGCTACTGCGCCTCCAGTACCATTACCACCTCGGTACTGCAAACCTGAAGTTCAAGCTCGGCCTAAATCTGAACAAAAGCCTTTCTGGAAAAGACATCTGTACTGGATACTGGGGATTATAACCTTGTTAATGATTCTTATCTCAGTTATAGCCGTCGTGTTAGCTCGTCTCAAACCCTCAGATACCAAACCAATAGAGGCAATTCGTAACAATACACGCAATAGTGTAGCCAGTACGGGTCTGACTCTTCTTGATAACAAAACGTGGAATATGCATGTTTTTTCACAAAATTCGACTGGTCAAATAGCACTCCAGGTTAGTCTGGATGGCAAAACTTTCGAGCCTCCGACAAATGTATCATTGACAATTCCACCCAGAGTGGGATCACCTATCTCAGCTACAGCGGAGCAAGATTCGCAAACACACGTTATTATGGTCAGATGTCACCCTTAGACGGGCAATGCTATACTGACAACCCGCAGTTGAATCTTTTCTACATTTCAGGAATTAATAATGTGACCATGTCTGCACTAACATGTGCGGAAGGATCTGCTAAATGTGGCACAATCAACAATTGCCTTCTCCCGACTGCTATACCTGTTTCCCATGAGACCGGACTAGCTGCAGTGAACGTAAATAATTCTCAAGATTGGCGTGTCTACTACCACGATCAATCAGGGTTTATATCTCAGCTTCAGGGCAACGCGTCTGGCTTTAACTTGGGAAGTCGCATTGGCGGTGAAGGTCTAAATGGAAGTGATATCACTGCCGTGAATATTGACAGTACCACAAACAACATCCACGTTTTCTACACGGATATGCTTACTCAGGCGTTATTTACCCTTCAGTATCAAAAACATTGGACTACTCGTATGACTCCCTTTTTGTTTTTAGATATAATGTTCATTGTGGCTAATATTCAAACTCTAAGCTCGCCCCGTATCCAATGCTCGGGTTGCTAATTGGAATCCTTACTCTGGCTTTGGTTCTGCCTACCGACCTTTTTCGGACCAGCTACATGTTTATTACACAGGGCTTGATAAAGGCATTTACGAATTTGTCCTTAATGGTACAGATGCTACAGATACCTCGTTTCAGCCTCAGCCGGATGGAACGCGTCCCTGGGGCGAAGCTGACTACGTTGGAGCCGATATAACGGCTGTTGGCTGGAAGGATCAAATCCGCTTCTTTCAACCCGCTCGAGGGCGGCTGGTCATGGGAGAGTTGAATGATACCACGTGGGGTGAGGTTTTTGTGGATATGATCACGACGGGGTCACAGATCATGGCATAGCTCATGAAATTCGGATATGGCGACGCGCGTGAGCCAAGAAATTAGCGGAGTAATTTCTTAGGTGACGATTCTTATCTTGTACTGACTCCCAGGCTAGACTTTATATTCCGAGGCCTTCTATGGGATATGAGGCCGACACGGTAAAACCGTATTCACTGATCCATGTAAATTTTTGTTTCTCGATACCCAATAGTCTATTAGTTTACTGTATGGTTGTCATTTCAATTCACGACTAATTAAGAGTTGGGGATTCTGCATTACCGGCTTCCTAAGCTCCGTTCAATCAATTTGTGGAGAAAGATATGGTCACATGTAGACTGCTAGTAATTCGCGCGCATCAGTGATCACGCTTGGCAGCAGGACAGCGTACATTTTTAAATTTCGCCGGACAATTCGGAATCGTCATAGCGTCTTACTCGTCATCATTTCAATTAATTTTTCATCTTGATTCGAAAATACATGCGCTGCAATCTTATTTTTTGCAAGGTTAAGCAATGCACGTACAATCATTGTGCGGATTAGAAAATCAAAACCGTGGGTCAGTTGCTACTATACATCGATTTTCTCGTCCGCTACATTTAATAACTTACTCAAGAAGCTTCATAAACTTCTCTTAGTTGTACTTGGCTATTACTGTCTGTTCTTGGCGGTAGACACTAGCATTGTGCAACTTGGTATTTTATCAACGTTAATGCTTAACTCAGATCTCCTCACAATAAAGGGCCGATGATGGAGTGGGGTCACGAAACAAAAAATAATGTAATAAAACATTGGTTAAAAGCAGAGATGTCTCGAAGAGGAGCGGGGTCTGAAAAGCTCCCGGCCTGTCACCCGAGTAATCAAATCGGCCCTAATCTGCACATCGCTCAGACTTGAATTTTCAACTACACAATGCCCCTCTTTTAAGTCCTATACACAATCCTCATCAGATGGTGAATTGATTTATGTTCATTCATCATCGCATTCCGGTCTTTATTGCTACTTTAAAACGATGAGGCGCAATAACACACCTCTAAATCAGTTTAAGGTTCATGAAATGGAAAAATCGAGTCAAAGAAAAATCTCGTGAATTCAGAAGAGCTATTGAGGTAATTATGCTCCGCAGATGAAAACCGCCTCTGGCCATAATGAAATGGTTTTATTTATCAAGGTAACGGAAATCAAGCTAGAATACCTAAGTAGCCGTATAGGCACGTTTCGTTCGTTGAAATTTATCTACTCAGCCTTTGATAGCATCCAGGCCTTTCAACAAGGTAAATTTTACTGTAGATCGCAATAAATTTGAAATATCTAACAGAATAAGTCGAGATTAGCAAAGCTTATAACATCCGAAAACTAGTAGGAAGTTACTGGTATTCAAGTTCGCTTCCATTGAATCGCCAGAGATCAGATAATCTCTGACGCCTGAGGCCATCAAACTTTGGTGTGAAGTCTATCAAAGCTCACCACTCATAATCTAGACCTTATGTTAATTGTACACTCCGACTTCAAGAGAAATTTCCAAGGTCATCAAAATGTAATGCAATAATGCTGTGTTGCTTAGGATTGTTTGATGAACAAGAAACTTGATACCCTGTCATTTATAAGCCCTTGGCCTACTTCATGTCCTACATTCGTCGCCTTACTAGTCAAGGAACGATAACACCGATTCACTATTGTTTATGACCTTGCTGTTTGGGATCTAATTCAAAGCCGGCTACTAATTTGTAGTCTTGAAGCCTTATTGATATGAAATATTTCATATTCAGCTAGTGAGCCCAACTATTCAGAACAGTCTATTACAAGCCATTGAAATCTGGTCGACATAGCTGAGGATGGTTCAACGTAAGCATCTACACCAAGGCTAAGGTGTATAAAAGGTAAACAAGGTCCAATGAAAAGTCACGATTTATCTTTTTCGCCAAAACTACCAGAACGCAAAGTATACCGTAAGCTCCTAGGTTTTACGTATATTCGGGGGGCCATAGATCACGCATTTTCAAAGATTCAAGATTGGTCTAATTTCTGCCGAATTGAAAAGTAGCGCCATTTATTAGCAAGAGAAACAGTAAGAACGAATAGTGTTGGTAAATAGGTTCCGCACCTCTTATTTAAAAGTGTCAGGATTCCTGGATCAGGAATGTGAGAATTTGAGAATGGCAAGGATTCAAATTGACTTTTCACACGGATGAGAAAGTTCTTCAGTCCAAATGTAACTGTAGCCAATTCTTTAATATGACACTCAAACTAAGATTCGTTCTCGGCAATATTTTCCAACCCTTCGACTTTTTCTGTCCCCAACATCTCGCATAGTACGTCGACTGATTTCACCCCCCGTGACAACTCTAGTTAGGGAGATTGGCTTCTCAGTCCTTAACCCGAACGGTAGGGCTTTGGAGTCTTTGTCAGAGATGAGACTTATAGGCTTCGAGGAGCCTTGGGCTTTACTTGCTGCTATTTCCTTTTGCCTTGTGCAGCCAAATCGGACCATTTCTGTTAAGAAATTCTGCAAATATGTTGCTTCTTCGATACACTCAAGCAGAGCGCTAGTCTCGATCTGTAAACTTGTGATAAAGTCTTTGGCTTTATAGGAAGTTCCATCGGCTAGAGGAACTTCTCCTGATAGCCAACCAGCAGCTCCGACGGCATCTATACAGCAATTGAGTAAGGTTACAATTAACACGATTGTACTGTCGGGTATACAGGGGCTTCCAGAGGGGCTATTTTTCGTATCACTTTCAAAATATTTTGCTGTCCATCCTCCACGTGCTAGCTCGATTCTTAGTAAATAGATCAGGCTTACTGTAGTCTGAAGGCTATAGTTTGTTCGAATTCCATTCACTATTATCTCATCTGGGTAGGTGTAGAGTTTTGATAAAGCCAAGGCTAGAGTTTTCTCGCGCGATCCATAGTCAATATCAAGGCTGTTCCCGGATAATCCGTTTTCCTTAACGTCTATTGCTTCTAGAAATTTGACTTTATCTTCTGAACATTCATCCCTAGCTTCTGTGCTGGCTGTTATTTTTTCATAATTCACATATTTATGATTGACACTTCCACCCGGAATTTCAATTCCTGAGCAATCTATTAGCTCCCGAACAGCACATATTAGTTCGGTGGCTTCAAGGTGGGTATTAGAAACTAGATCATGAAGCAGTTTCATCTCAGAGTCTAGCCCGGCTATAATTCGAATTAACTGGCCAGCGGGTATTGTCCCTGTTTTAATATCACGAAACCTGAGTGCTGAATCAATATTTGAAGTGGTCATGTAGCCATTTTTGATTAACCATAGAAACGTTTTTGGAGGGTAGAAAGAAATAGATAACTGTGATTTCGCATCTTCCCTCCCTGAGCACGTGAAAATTTTGCCAAGGGCATACATGACTCTTTTTTTTTCAGCACCGCATGGCCACTGAGCAGGAAAAGGTAATTGATGGCTCGACTTTGCACTTGTGTCAATCTCGGAAGTATTACATGCCTCAATTTGACTCCTTGGCAGCTTTTGAGTCATAAAACAATCAAAGACCTCTTCGGTGCACGTTCCTGCATCAAATAGTTTCTCAATTGGTTCGAAGAACTTCGAATATCTCTTTGGATTACCCGTCACAGCCTCACATGACTTGAGCGTTTGGAATTTATTTTTAATTTTTTTATGATTTCCTTTCAACCCAGGTCGTGATTGATCTCGATTAAAGCAGCCCAGAGAATCGACTAGGAGGCCATTCAGTTGTAGTTTACCATGACTATCTTGCCGAGCTTCAACCTGAACTCCCACTAAATTATTATCTATTAAAGCCACTGCGATAGAAAGTTTGGGGAAGTATGAAATTAATTTGCAAGAATGATGGTTATTTAAATCGTGATCTCTTTTTCTCTTGAGAGATTCATTTTCTGGCAAGCCAAGGCTTGTAGTTGCTAGTTTTGAGTAAAACTTAAGATTGTATATCTCTATTGCGGTTCCAGTTGATACTATAGTTGACATGCTGGCTAATCTTATAAATGATTGGCTACCAGGACACTTTAGTCTATACAGCTCTTTAGGAAGAGTGTTCGTAAGGTCATAAATTGTAAGGACGCCATTTTCAAGTGAATGGATAGTCCCAGATGACGCATGAACACTAAAATTTGCACTTGTTTTGAAATGACTGTGTCCCGGATTGTATGGCATTGTTAGGGATAGTAGGGAGCTAACTGGGCGGTGATTAGCCATGACTGTTGTTGGTGTATCTTTTCTCGGTAGGCTGACAATGAGTAAGTTTCGGGAAGCTTGCTTTTCTGAGATTGTAACAAGTATAAGTAAGTCTGGGTTGAAGCCCATTTCTGTAACTTCTTGAGGAAATATCGTGAACACATCTTGTCGCCCTTTCAGTATTCCCTTTCTGGCAGAATTGGCTCTTGTCATACAAGCATATTCAACCATCAAATCCTCAGGACACGAATGAAAATCTCGGAATAGTGCAGATGCGGGTGATGTCCATTTTTCCTGTAAAGTTTCACTGTCGTAACCTTGAATCTCGCCATCCTCTTTCACTACCATAACCTCTGATAATTCCTCAGGATGGTTAACACTTTCGGTTGGTCTGATTGTTCCGACAAAAAGTACACGACTGACAGAGCCTGTGATCTGCTGACTTACAGTCTTTGACTGAATTTCACCAGAACGTATATAGGAGTCAGAGAAGAGTGTTATTTGAGGAGTTTTACTAATTGAAGAGACATAGGTTTTACGTTCAACTTTAGTTTCCGAAATTCTGATTCTAATGGAGTTTGGCGCACATGTAAGGGAGGATTGGGGTGGTAAGGCGTATGAGGTGATCAATCGCGATGTGGACACCTAAAATCAGCTCAGTATGTTTGATTGTAGTAGAGATATGGCCGACAGACATCGTATAAGACAACGCCCTCGCCATCGACTCCTACTACTAGCTCTGGTCGTTTCCTTTTTTTCTGGTTAATAGAACTTCCATATACCTCACAAACGACATAGTTAGGTTGACGGTCATTCCTAGGGTTTGGCAATGAAGCGATAACATGAGGGGTCTGTATTCCGACGTTCGAAGTCATATTAGAGCTGCCGTACAATAGGCAATTCGTAGGGTTTTGCGTACGGGCGAGGATAATTTTCATGAGATGCGAATAATTATCACCCTGTTTACAAGGATCAGGGGTATTATTGATAACACTCCAAATTCGAGGGTGGATATCCGCACAACGACATAACAACGATGGTAAACAAACAGCTCGCTACAATATACAGGATATTAAGTAATTTCACATTGTTGCTAAGTCGATAGTTCAGGAAATAACTTCTCACTATTAAAAAATCTACCAGAAAAACATGTGAAAGAATAATTCGAGATTTTGAAGCGCTCAACTACACTATGCTGGCTCTAGTTGAGAACAGAGTGAGAGGTCAGAACCAAGAGCAAAAACTTCTTCACTCTCTGTGCCAAAAACCATCTAGTAAGAATCTATTATCCTACAATTTACTGGTAATGTACCACAAAGCTATAATTTCTAATTACAACGACAATTTAGATGGCGACCCTAGCGTAAATGATCAACCACCGCCCCACACTATCACTGCATCATTCTGCGACAAGGCGCCAACATTTTCAAATGTTACAGCGCGGAAATATTTAGACGGTAATCTTGTTATCACGGATGGAAGCCCGGAGCTATCGATAAGTCATGATGCAAGAAAGTTTAAAGATTTAAACGACAATAGCCATGGAGCTGGAGAATTATCTCCTCAAATCTGTTCGAAACATGAGAAGGCAAGTTTCGACCCAGGAAGCAAAGCTAATCTGTCCCCTTGTAGGGTACGAACGGAAAATAGTATCGTACCTGATCAGGCTGGAGATTTTACTGGTCACACAAAAATCTTTGAAATCATATCAAAAAAAACGAGTGTGGATACAGCATGTGGAAGAGTAAAAACAAAAATACAGAATGAAAGACTTTCTTCAATGTCATCTAATGGCTTCAGCGCATCGAATCCTACTAATTTGATCAGCCAACCTAAAATTCCTGACGTAAATCAATCTTTGCATTATTCAGCGAATTTCACAAATACAAAAGCAAAAAATGAGATACTTGGTGCTTGTGCAAAAGTAAGGCCACAAAATCAACTCCAACTCAACCATAGATCTGGCAAGATATTTTTATCTCCATCCAATATATCACTGGCTGGAAAGCAGGGAATACAGAAATCTAGTATACTCAGCTCGAATATTATTAAGATAAAGTATCCTGTGCCGCTAAGTCTCAAGATAAATCAGATCCTTAATTCTATAGAGACAAATGATCAGCTTCAATGTGAAAGTAATAAATGTGCAAAAGGCAAATCAGATACAGCAAGCCGACCTTTGCACCCTTTCTTCCAAGTAAATTTGACGCGAAGGGCTGGACCTACAACGGAATCGATTACAACTACAAATTATCCAAATAATATTGATCGCAGTGGGAAATCAACTAAAAAGCTCTATTTTCAATCTCTAAATGCCAATGTCCCATCCCATGAAAAATCTGCTTTCTATTCGAAATCCGAAGGGATTCTTCAAAATAAGAAACAGCGTAAGGTTTTGGGAGGACTTCAACCACCTTGGCCTTGGAAGGGAATGGTTCACACAAGAGCCTACGAAAAAACTGATATGGTAAAAGAAAAAAGACAAAAGGAATTATTGCCGAATCTTAGACAAGGTAAAAAACGTAAAGAAAATGCCATATACGTCTCAGAAGCTGAAGATTTTACAACTTCTATTCTGGAAGGTCTTAATGTCAGAAGTTTAGTTCGATCAATGCAGAATTCGAATCCAGATCATTTTCCGCCAAATCCTACTTGCTTACGGCTACCTACCAAACTTTATGAATCCAGATTAGAGATCCAGTCTCGATTACGTACACGACTACAGTCACAGATACCAAACCCTACGATAGAACCTGAGAGTTCAAGTGAAGATGAAATTCGGAATTTTGAAAATAACGCTCGCAGGATAGTTCATCCCGCAATATTAAAAGCTTATACCTCGATAGCTACTAATATTTCAGCTATTAAGGAAGGGAACTGCGATTCTCAGTCGTGGACTCAAAAGTATGCGCCAAATAAAGCCAAGGAAGTCCTTCAAATCGGCAACGAAACACTTATTCTCAAGGAGTGGCTGTCAATGCTGATTGTTAATTCAGTTGAAGCAAAAACGATAGAAACCAGCCTTCAATTGGACTCCCGGTCAGAAATATCGGGCAAAAGAAAAAGACGAATCCCAAGGTCAGACAGTTTTGTAGTCATGTCTGATGGCGATGAGAACGATTCTTTTGATGAACAGACAGATCTCGAGGAAGTCTCATCGAACCGGATGTACAAAAGTCACAGGCGAACAATTATCAAAAACAGAAATTTTTCTACCAAAAACAAACGTGGCTGCAAAACACACCATAGCATTCTTGTTAGTGGCCCTAATGGTTGTGGAAAGAGCGCTGCCATATACGCTGCTGCAAAGGAATTAAATTTTGATGTTTTTGAAATTAACTCAAGTAGCAGACGTAGTGGTAAAGATATTATGGAAAAAATAGGCGATATGACTCGGAATCATCATGTCCAACGTTTATCAGGGACAAAACTTTACACGAAATTGAACGTTTCATTCACTCGTAGTATAAAAACTTCCAAATCAATCACGGACTCAATGAAGAACACAAACATTGAGCATGAGAAGGAAATAATCCCAGAAAAAGCAAAAATTCCTTCAAAACAATCAAGCAGTTGCGTCACTCATGGGCATGAGGAAAAATTATGCGCAGGTCTTGCATCCGATTTAAAAAAATGTCAAAAACAATCGCTTATACTAATAGAAGAGGCTGACATAATCTTCAAGGAGGACGGCCAGTTTTGGGCTACGATTGAAAATCTTGTCTCTATCTCAAAGCGGCCTGTAATACTCACTTGCAACGATGAAACTGCAGTACCTTTATCACATAAGCACTTACACGCAATCCTACGCTTCGAGCCCCCGCCCATAGATCTCGCCGTTGACTATATGCTCGTTATTGCCGCAAATGAGGGTCACATCTTAAAGCGTGAGGCTGTAAAATCACTATATGAGGAGCGTGGGTTAGACTTGCGGGCTTCATTATCTGAACTTGATTTTTGGTGTCAGGTTGCCGTCGGTGATGTAAACAAAGGCCTCAGTTGCTACTCTGTACGACAGTATAAAGATGGAGAAGGTTCTATAAATAGAGCCTTTAGTGAAGGCACCTATGAAACAGGAATGGGCTGGATATCACAAGATATTCTCGAAAGCAGCTTGAGTCATCTCGATGTTGAAGAAGAAATACTCCATGAAGCAAGTGATTTCTGGAACCTTGATGTTGGTGATTGGGAAGAGTCTATCGGTTTAGAAAAGTGGGCAGACCATATACGATCTCTCTGTCACAACCGAAGACGCCAGCTAGATGCACTAAGCATGTTTGAGAACTACACAGAATCAATGAGTGATTCTGACCTACTCTGTAAAAACTTGTTTGGATCCGAGAATCAAGTAAGATATGCTCTACTTTTATTAAACTTTATCTAATTTCTGGACATAATAGCTTTCACTAGACCCATCCATACCAAAATTGGGTGATAAAATTCGAGACGAGTATCCACTATCCTACAAGCTCATTATAGCTTCTACCTCCGTGACGCCTGATTACACTGGGCAATCTATATCACTGTTTCTTCGTTCGCGAGCCCGAAATTACCTTCAAGTCACCCAACATCTTGAGCATCAGTTTGAAATACGCCCTGAGCTTTCATCTCCCACTGAGAGTCAATTAATCAATATTATCAGAAAGAACTCTATATCTCCCAGCCTTAGTATTCCTCTAAAAGCTTTTAGACGGGCATTTGATCCCATTTCATACCCAATGACACAGTCCTTGTGGATGGGCGGCAATTATTTCGAGGCATCCCAATTTAACCGCACCCAACGTATTCTGAGTGAGGATCTTGCCCCGTACGTTCGGGGTATTGTGGCTATCGATATGCAACGGCAGCAAGACCGCGAACAAAAAAGCAACCTTCTGAGTGTTGGTGGTAGTATGTCTGGGAAGAAACGGCGAACAACGCGAGCTGCTATTAGCGCGCTCGAGGGTGGTGCGCGCACTGAAACGCGGCGTCCGCGTTACTTCGGGCAAGCCTTGAATCCTCAGCTCGTCTTCCAAACGGGCCTGCCGAGCTGGATTGCAGCGGCCGCGCGGCGCCAAGTGGCAGCGACATAGTATAAGGAGCATCTCTGTAGGCGCTCACTAGATCCGGCAAAATTCGTTGTCTCATATCACGGTATCAGTATGCACGTGCGTGCAGTTTCTATGCCAGCCTCTTTGTTCCCATCCTCGCCGCGCTTTGCCCCGGGCTAAGTCAATCGTGTACCATTTTAGATGGACAAAGAATCCCTTACCCAGATGGGATTCCCAGCCGCACAATAAGAAATCGCCGTTTGCTATGTTCTACAACACTCGCAGACTGCAACTGTGCTAGCTCAAACTCTTATGGTCGACTTGGTATCAATTATTCACAAAGCAGGCTGTAGAGTGCCAACGCGAGAGTATGAACTGTGGAACTATGCTTTACATTTTGGCCGGTGCGCAATATATGGAACTGAAAACTCGTGTTGCAAATGGAGGTTTTCACGCCCGTGCTATTGATGAAAGGCCCAGTTCAGCTTTGAAAACTATGTCAGGGTAGATAGTATCCGAAGATGAAATGATGTGATGAAACTTCCATTAACGTCAAAATATGTCTAGAGGCTTTCTGTTCACACCGCAGCCATGTAATAATTTATAAAGAAAATGTATATTCATGTAATTAGTAACAACTGTTATGAAGCAATGTGGTTGTACCGGTAGATGATGGCTCGCCTAACAACTTTTACTCACCAGCAGCTCTACTATTATCGTTGTACAAAAATTAAACTAATGTCGTCAACCAATGATTCATACCATACAACTAGTCATGAGCGTATGGTATTATCTGTCCGAAATAAATTCCCATCACAAAATTAACTCCTGTCCCCTTTTTTCGTGGCAATAATCCCATATTTTATTTTATTGATAATAACATCCGAGACGGTAATGAACTTTCAACATACAATCAATTCCCCGATATATTGTTAGTATCTGAATCTCTTTACATAATTTTTAGGTGATACGAGATAGCACACATCTATAAGTTAAGGGCTGCTTAAGTTACAGCTGGCGGTGAGCGAACAGAAGTGGTAGGAGTAAAAACTTTTATTTCCAGCAAGTAATTTGAGTCAGCCAGATCAACTGCGTGGAAGTTATATTAATTTTCTGGAGCCCGCGCACGTTCTGGACTGGCTGCAAATCGAATTCCGCGCCGACTTGTTCCCTGCAAGGGTACCCGAAGTGAGATATCTTTAGAATCGTAGCCGTCTATATCATGACTTTCACATCTTGATAACTCTCTGCTCTTCCGTTCTTTAGCGGTGTCTTTCTCTTGTACTGCACCTTCAAGTTCCTGTGATTCATCTACATCTGTTGCAGTGTCTGGCGCCATGGCCACAGGGCTAGCCCTCGGCCGTGCTATTTGGGCCGGTGTGACATTATCAACTCCCTTGAGCGCTCCCTCCCTTCGTCTCCTTTCAACATCGGTCTCTAACTGATCAGTGCTGGATTCCGCCTTACTTTTTTTCATTAAGCTTGATCGTTTCTCTAAATCATAATTTGAAAATTTCTTCACGTCTAGATCCCTATTTGTATGAATGTTCTGAATATTGTATTCTTTATTCGTCCCATGATTGATACTGGACTTTTTCGCCGCTGCTGCTTCCAATCCCGAGGGAGAATTTAGTTCGGTAGTATTTGTTATGGGTTTTTTACCGGATGTCCTCACTATTGCACGCACACCTGAAGCGACATCTCGACTTTCTAGTTCCTCGGTTGGCTTAGCTGTTCCACTATCTTGGATGACGTTAAGTCTCGTTTTGGGATCCATATTTTGAAGCTCACGTATGAGATCATCTTTTGTTAGGCGTTTGCCTTTGCCATCAATAGTAAATCTTATGTAACGATCGTCTTCCTCTTCGTCAATGGAGCGCTCATTTGATTTCTTCTTTCGTAGACCCCAACGGCTTATTCCTTGACGACTATTAATTTCTGATGATGCCTCCTCACCGCTTGACTTTTTGCCAGTCCACTGTCCTACCTTATTAACACCATGTCTGACAGTACTTGATTCACTGTTGGGTTGCCTTGTTCGCTGTGGCGGTAGCTCGTAGGTCTTTATGACCTCACCATCTTCGTCTTCAACAATAATCTATACAAGTTAGCACAATTGTATTAAAATTGAAGATGAAGTTACGTTGTTTCCGAACTGATAAGCTAGGGCCGGCCGTTTTTTTCTCTTCATTATTTTCGCCCTTTCTTTCTGATGATTATCTGGTTCAACCTCTTCCTTGCTTCTCCAAACTCCTAGTTTTTTTCGGGTGTTTCTTGTTGGGCCTGGTGAATCCAGAAGATCTTTTGATGTATGATTTTTCTTGAGAGAGTTTGAGTGATCAGTTTCGGTTCTCACAACTTTCAGCACGTCACCTTCGTCACTCTCAATTATTATTTTACTACCTTCGACATAAACATCTGCCAAGTCATACTTATTCTCAGCGATAGAGCTAGGGGGCTTTTCATTAACTTGAAGGTGAAGTTCGGGCAAAGATTCCGAAGCCTCAGAGTCATCTGATACCTCTTCCCATGCAGGGTTTGTCTCGTCTTCAGAGAGGTCATCTTGATGCGCGACTGTTTCGGGGGCTTGTTCACCATGAGTCTCGCTGTCTCTACGTTGCGGATAGATGGCGGACTGGCTTATTGGTCCCCCAGGGCCTAGGCCATCATCCCACTTTTTCTTCCTTTTCTTTTCGCGACGATTTTTCAAGGGCGTTGCATTAGAGCCATGAATAGGAGCTTCATCTTCTCGCTGGCGTCGAAGGAATTCTCTCGGTATCCCGATCGGAGGTAATTCTCCGGGAGCAAAGTCACCTAATTTTGATTCATTCTCGTCGGTCTCTGAAGTCATGGACTTAGCCTGGGATCTTGAAGTTGATGTAACTCTAGGAAGTCGATTTAGCCAGCCAGGTCCATCTTCACCTGCAGCGGTGTATGACATGGTAAGAGCCAATGTATTGATACGTTTTCCGAGGGTAAAGACAGCAATGGATGATCCATGGACAAGAATTGAAGAGATTACTAGAAAAGTTGTGATCGGCCATATAAGCCAGGCTAGCACAAAATGTTCTCCGTCTGGATCGACGTGTAATGTTGGAGTGGGGTTCCCAGATTCTAGCTCAGACCTAGCCAGTATAGCAACAAAGATTGCACCTACTCCAATGGGACCGAAATGACCAGCAAATAACGCTTCACGCCATGTCTTGATATCTGGAATTATTGGCTTTAGGATCATCATGATTGGTATCCTGCGAAAAAGAATCACAAAAATAGCGATTACTACCAATCTCCACGGGGTGATGCCCATGTCAGGGTTGTTGTATTGTTCCCACGGAATGATGGTGCCCAAGTAGACAAAGTACGTTAAGTTGAGAAGTAAGTCGATAACATTTGAAACGTGGGATTCTTCTGTCTTTTGTGTGAACCAGCCATCATTTGAGAAGCCAACACCGGCGGAGAACCCGACTAGAAGGTCGTCCACACCAAGCGAGCTACCAGAACCGGCGCAGAATAGGGCGAGGACAAAATAAAAGACAAGAAAACTCTCTCGATCGACCAAGTCGTGTTTTTCGGCGTATTTAATGCCTTGTCTACTGACATAACCAATGACAAATCCGTAGATAGCTCCAAACACACATTCGTATAGTATGGAAATGATGAACCAATGAAAGGCAAACTTTTCAGTGTCAGGTCGATACTCAATAAGATATAGTGCTAGATAGACAAATGGAAATGCCATGCCATCGTTACAGCCAGATTCAGCAGATAGAATATCGCGCAAATGTCGAGGAACTCTCTTGGCAAACTTTCCCTTACCGACAACAGAGCTAGCCAGTACAGGATCCGTTGCTGTGACACAAGCCGAAACACAAAGGCTATCTAGCCAATTAAGCGGAGGTATCATCCACCAGATAAACAGGCTTGTCATTAACCATCCGAAGGTCATGACTGGAATCAGTAAGAAGAGAACACTTCTCCAATGTTTTTCCATGTAGTACTTTGGAAGTTCGACGCCAACTGCAAAACACTGCACTACGAGTACAACACGGGAGAATTCCAAGGTCAATTGATCAGTATTTCCCCAACCCATGGGGTCGATGAGATTAGCGGCGTGCGGCCCGAATATGATGCCGCATAGAGTTGCTACCGTTGATTCACCAATATACATTCTCTCCTTGACAAATGAAGAGCAAAGCATAAAAAGAGAGGTGAAGCCGCCAAGTATTGTGTAGACCAAGTGTGGCTGATTGATGGACAGATGACTCCACGCCATAATTGATATGGGAAGGGAGGAGATAGGCTTGTATGGTCGTGAAATAGGCCAAAACTATTTGTACTGAGAAACTTTGAGTATTTTACCCAAAGCGATAAGGTGGAGGATGAGATGAGGGTGTTCTCATTTATTCTCCGACGTTGTCGTGGAAAGGTGCATAAGCCTTGGGTTCACAGCGAGTCGCGGCATCGATGGTTGAGTGAGGTATCTGTGGCTCATGAACCATTACCGCTTTTCGAATTAAATGCGCTTTTAGGAAGTCGGGGTGATGAAAGAGTGAAAGAATTTTGGCTTGGTGATGTAGAAGGGTAGCTAGTTATCCACAAGGTAGTCGCGTAGCGAATAACGAATGAAATCAGCCTGAAGGGGTGATCTGCATCAAATGGCAACAAAGCTTGAAGCTATATCTTCGATTGTCTTGGATTTCGCCAGAACCGGTAGAGTTCTGATTCTTATAGAGAATGACTTGAGAATGTATGCAGACGATCATCCGAGGTTTGGAATTGTGAGTGGGATTAAGATGAATGATCGGGGTGGGGCAAATCTGAAAATTTGGAGCCATGCGAACTCGACGCGCGTGGGGGAATGAGGAGACCGGGGCCCCCAGCAGCAGAGTGTAGGGTGGGGACCCCTGTCCGGTGCATCGGACGTCGGAAGTCGGGAGAAGTAGGAAGGGAGCGTTCCTACCAGTCGATAAATTTGAGTCTCTTCCCTGAAGAAAGTGCAGCGGCGGATGCCACAGACATCCTTTTCTTTCCACCAGACTACGCTCAATAATCCCCCGGTGGATTAGATATGTCGGGAGACCAAACGACTGGATGCGTCACCCGCAGAGGTCGCTGTGCGCAGGCGATTCCACACGGAGACATGGTTGCTAATGGCATGTGCAGAGTGGATGGGCTATTAGTCTACAATGAGAGATTCGGGACAGCTTTGTTAGCTCCGCAAGTTAATGAAACGGGTCGTCGTGAGTGGAGTGCGGCAGAGGCTTTCCTTCCGATTGGATAGGAAGATGGTGGTAGCGAAATCTGATATGGAGTATTTATGCTTTTATGGCGGGACGATGGATCAGAATCACGTTTTGGCTCACTCGTGGCTCTTGCCTGACACCAAGAGGCCCACCTCCATGAGGACAAAGGCCCAAGAAGATATAGTACTACAAGCGCACCTTCTCGCTGAGTAGCTGTGTAGGTTCGTGGCTGGGGGAGCTGGCCGGCCAGAAGTTCTCTGAACGCTTGCAATTGACACTGCGCCGGGAAGTTTGGGTGGGTGAAATGGGTGTCGGCGTCGGCGTCAAACAGCGACCGACAGCTTCAAAGCCTTACGGACTTTAGGCCTCTGTGCGTAGCTTCGTGTGCCTCGCTCGTCGGATCCCATTTTCATGGCGAGCGAAAAACTACAAGGAGACAAGCCAGGGTATCCGGGGTGGTGGTGTGGAATCTGGTCTTTCAAGTCATAACCTTGCTGCAATTTCTGCTGGCCTTATCATCCGCCTCCCTGCACTTGAAAACAACGTTTCTGCAGATATGGCGGGGCAAATCATCACGGTTGCACTGTCGGAGAACATATTGACCTGGCCTTTTCCGAGTGTCATCGCACGTACTGCAGCGCAGACCCAGTCCTCGATGGATCACTCGCGAATCAACCACAATGGGAAGATGGGCCGACGCGAGATACTGTTTAGTCCAGGGCTCGCTTGCAGTTGAGTTTGGGCCTGTCGCGATGGGTCAAAGAATGTACTTGCGGCGGCTGATTAAGACTGTGGGCCATTTTGAGTACGCCCGTTGTACGCGTCTATGCCAAGACCAGAATATTGCCTGAAAGTAATTGGCAAATCTTTGCTGGTTGGCGCAATGAGCATGCGTGCGCTACGTCCGGCTCCATTTGCCTTAGGCCCAAAACCCTGGTCACTCGGCGCTTTAGGCGAGGAGCTGCACACAAGGTTGCCCTCGCTTTCCTCCTTTCTTACCCTCTACCCAGCCCAATCATCGCCACCCTCAGCCCAGCGTGGATGCAAGAATCTCCTCTTATCCTCCACTACCAGTCACAGCTTTTCTATCCTAGAATAAGTTAAGCTGGTCTCATCCTAGCTCAAGAGTCTGTTCCACATGGCGCCGGCAACAATTCATCCAGTTTTATATCCTCAATAGGCGTTCCTTCCATTATCATGATGATACCGTGGCAGACTACGCTTCTTACCAATATTCCTACCTGCTGGAAATCCTCCTGATGCACTCGACTTAACGAGAAATCACTGCTTGATCCGCACAATCTATATTTCGTGTTTCCGTGGGTATTTCTTCATGAGACTACAGACAATGCCTTCTATCCAAATTGATGTGGGCTATCCTAATTCAAACCAGGTATCAGAATGTTCGGGGAATTTTTTATGGGAAACGGACATGCTATCACATCCTGCATAATCTTAGGATCGAGAAGGACGATAACACTAACGGCCCATCCCTGGATCCTGCATCATCCCTTCATTGATTTTAAACGCGCATCGCAGGGATACTTGAAGAGAAAGCTTGCAGAGCAGATTTGTAGACGTTTGTCCGACTTAGAACAGAGTGCTTAAAGGCAGTCGTCAGCCTGGTGCACTGTCGAATCGGGGACGCAGGCCAGTTGAGGTTCTGTCGATCGAAACATTGAGGGTCCATATCTTCCTCTGCTTGTTTTGTTGCAGATTGACTGGTGTCAAGTGATGATCCTCATGCTTATGTGAATGTATGACGGAATAATTGTGGCTTTTGGTAGCCATAGCTTTACTACTGCAAAGCCCTTCGTATGCATGCAGTAGTGCCGTTCAATGCCCCAATCTAAATATGGAAACATGAGAAAAAACGAGATAAACAAGCGTGCTTGTAGGAGGCGCAAGGGACAGATAGCGCTCGAGGGCGGCAGAAGCTCTGGATTCTAGCTTCAAAAAAAATCTTAGACTGTCTTCCATTCTCTACACCCCTACATTATGCACTGTCCATACCACCGATCTTCCCCAATCTCCCGAATTGACCAGTAATGAATAATTCGACCAAGACTTCGAGCTATCAGTGTAAAAATTGCCAGAAAATACGCCCGAAGCAGCTCGTGCTTGCCCATCATGCGCCTCGAAGACATGTGGCGCTGAAAATTTGAGGAAAAAATGTGCCAGGATCTTTGAAGCGACCAGAAATCTTATTACAGAATTTGTGTCAGCTCCTGCCAGTTGAATTTAAACTTTGGCCATACTTAGCATCATCGCTTCGAATTACACACGCAGCACAGGTGACACTATGTGATGGGATCTAGGATGTTAAGGACAGGCTGCCAAGAATATCATTCATTGCTACAGGTCTCCATCATGTACGTCCGACAGCTGCTCGATACACCCTGAACAGTTGAAAGCCATAATGAAGAGTTTACCGACAGCTCCAATAATTTGTAATCATTACAAGATTAGGATCAGCTATCTCTCGAGATGCTGCTGCTGCCTCATTCAATAGTCATAATCAATGAGATCTTGTGGTGGACACATGTTACAAATCTCGGCAATTATTTGTAAAACCGCCGAAATCGACACCTGAGGTGTGTATAGCTAACGCCTTATGCTTTGCCATTGTCTTGGCAGCTATGCTTACACGGGTTGGGTTTCGACCTTCACAAGGCTGTCTCGGCAACAACTATCCCTTATCTTTCAGCTCCACGACGGCAAAGCAGTGCGCCATGACCATGGTAACCGGCTCCAATACTGCCGGGTAACAGAGTTTCTAGTTCTAAATTATTCTAATGCAGCCAACCGTTGTTTGATTTGTTGTCAGTCCTTGTAGAAATTGGTGCCGGATGGTCAAGGCCATTGCTTGTGTTCTGCCCCCCTTACTACGACATATGTTTGCGATTACTCCTACAACAGTCACAGAAAATATAGTGACGCTGAACAAGGTGAAGTTGAATGGGACGTATAACGCTACAATGGTTGTCAGAGAAATCGCAGTAACCTTTAAAATCCTGCAATCCAATGAAAACTCAACAGGAAATCTAAAAGGCGATTTAATATCCCCTCTCAGCATTGCGTGACTCTCAGACTTCCAAGCTTTACACTCGAAAATGGTATCTAACTAGTTTAACTGGGAAGGGAGATGACGACGGGACAATGGCTCTCATAGATTGCTATTCGAACGAGGTCCCGCGGAGGCACAACCGCTGAACAGGGACTACGAAGGAGGCCATGATGCTTCCAGCCTGCAAGCGGAAATGGCCAATTCAACATGAAGTAGTTTCAGAAACAAGAATCATTCCACACTGGCTCGGATGGCCTCGCGCCATGCCCTCTGACCTAATCTTAAGGGCAGACCCTTAACAATTTGAATACATGTTTCTAATGCAGGGCGATACTTGCTGGGAAGGGATTGGCAGATCCTTCCAGTTGATACTAATGTACATTTGTGCCTGTGTGATGTAGAAGTATACGTGAGGGCTTCCCACGCCCATCCCTTGGATCGGTAGGGCAAGACCCTCAGTGACCGTTGGAAAAGAATTGAAAATAAAGCACATATGAAAACAAGCGAGTCTGGTAGCATTATGTCTGGTTTAAGCAGTCTTTCACAGTCTTAGACCCAGCAGGGACTTCAATCTAATTATATTCTATTCCCTTGGATCGATACTCGCAGCTTGAGGTGGGATTAAGCTTCCGCGTAACTAAGTAGTGATATCACCGAGGATGATTCATTGTATGAGCGCTCTGTCCAATTTTGATTTACACAAGCTCATTGATATAGTGTCATGCTCTTTAGGCGTGGTACTTTAGCCTGACAGGTTAAAAATACAAAAAACTTCATGTAGCACATCATGATTCAGACTAATCTACCTGCTAACAATTTTTTTGCAGAAACCTACATCTGAGCTCTTTGATATAATATCAACGTGAACCTGGAACCTTAAATAGGAGCACTGTAACATACAAAGTTGGCTGACCGCTGCGACGGTACTGAGTCAAAAATCATCCCCTACAGTGCCTAGAAAAC